CCGCCGGCGCGGCCGCCGCGCTCCTCGCCGCCGCCGCGCCGGCGCTCGGCGCGCGGCTGCCACTCGCGGCCGCGGCGGCACTCGGGCGCCCACTCATACTCGCTTTCGGCGGCAGCGGGGCGGCGATCGTGGCTGCAGACGCGGCCGCAGCGGCCGTGGACGCCCTCGCCTCGGCCCCGCACCCGGGCGCGGCCGCGCTGACTCGGACGCCGGAGCCAACAGACCTCGCTCCGGCAGTCGCTGAGCTGGCATGCCACCTGGACGCGATCGCGCCCCCCGAGCCCGCCGCCGCGCTCGTCATGTGCCTGGGGCGCGCGCTGGCGCTCCAGGCCGCGGCGCCGCTCGCGGCGGCGCTGTCGTTTTTGCCTCTGGCCGCGGCCCGCACTGGCACTGCCAGTGGGGGCTGTTGGCAGGCGTGGGGCCCGCTTCTCGCGTCCATGGCCGCTGCAGGGACAGAGGGCGGCGCGGCCTCCCTCGGGCCGCGACCGGCGTCACCCGATGGTGATGTCACCGGTGACGAGCTGGTGGGCGTTGAGGAGCTGGTGGCAGCCATGATCGTCGTTTGCGAGGCCGCGATGACATCACTAGTGGCTGCCAGCACCCCAATCGACATCAATGAGGTCCCTGGCGGCGCCGCCTCTACCAAGGCCGCAGCCACTGCAGGCAGCCGCCCCACATCAGCCGTCCGCGCGCGCTCCGCCTCGCTCGCCGCCGCGGCGCTGCTCTGCTGGGCAAACGAGGCCGGCGTCGGCGCCGGCGCCGGCGCGGGCTCCGGTGGCGCCGCCAGGAGGCGGCTGGCCGAGGCAGGTGCGGCGCTGGCGGCGGCGGCGGGCGCGCCGCACTCGGTCGTCGAAGATGTCGCGCAGCAGTGGCGCCTGGCTGAACCCGGCGGGCCCGGCGCGCGTGCGTTGGCAGCCGGATGGCGCCTTGCCCACGGGCTGGATCATGCGTCGTTACTGAGCGAGCCGTCTGCAGCTGCCGCCGTGCGGGCGCCCGCGGCCGCCGGGCTGCCGCGGCCGGCCGCGGCGCCCCTGCCTCATCAGGCGCCGCTGGCGGCGCAGCAGCAGGAGCAAGAGTGGCAGCAAGAGCAAGAGGAGCAGCGGGAGGCGCGGGGACGCGGGCAGGAGCAGGCGCCGGCGCAGGAGAGTCGCGAAACACAGGAGGAGGTGCAGCCGGCGCCTGCAGACATCAGGCCGGCCGCCGCCGACGCTGTCGACGCTGACGAGGCGGGCGCCGCGCTGGACGATCTGGTCGGCGAGATCTGCGACGCATCTGACCGGCTCTGCCGCCGCCTGGCGCGCGACGCCGCCGCCCTGCTCGGCCGCGGTCCGGAGGACGCAACGGCTGCTGCCTCCGCTGGTTGCGGCGGCGGCGGCGTGGGTGAGGCAGCGGGCGGCGTGCAGCAGGGGACGCGTCCGGAGCAGCCGCAGGGGCGGGGCGAGAGGGGGCCGTTTGCGGACGCGTCGGAGCTGCGCCTGCATTTCAAGGCGCTCGCGCACACCGCGCCCGACGCGTCCGCGGCGCGCGCGCGGCTGCTGCCGCTGCGGGCGGCGCTCGCGAGTATAGAAGGGGTGGCCGGGGGCCTGGGGCCGCCGGCGGGGGCGGAGGCAGCAGAAGGGGGTGTTCCCGGGGGCTGCGAAGTGACTCTCGATGAGATGCTGTGGCAGCAAGGAGAAGAAGACGCAGACACAGTCGGCGCCACGCCGCCGCCGCCGGCGCGGCTGCTGGCGGTGGCGCTGGGGCTGCTGCCAGGCTGCGCGGCCGCGACGGCGGCGGCGCGGTCGCGGCTCGCGCGCGCCGCTGCCGCGGGCTGCTGCGCACAGGGGGCGGCCGCCGCAGGGGGCGGGGCGAGTTTGCACGCGCCGGAGGTCGTCGACGGCGCCGCTTTGGCTGGCACCCGCGCGCACGCAGTGCGCCTGTGCCCTCCGAGGGCGCCTGAGAGCCTTGGACGGCGGCGCAGCGGCGCGGCGGGCCGGCCGTCCGGCTCGACAGGCGAGACCGCCGCCGCGGCCCCGGCCGCGCGAGCGGATGAAAGGGCAAAGGGGAGCAGCAACCTTGAAACACGGAAGTCTGCGGCGGCGGCGACCCCGAATGCCGCGCCGCTGGCGCCGCCCCTGCCCGGGGCGGCGCTCGAATTGGTTGCTGATGCGCCCACCACTCCGCACGCCTCGGCCCCCGCTGCCCCGGCCTCAGCCGACGCTGAAGGCAACAACGCGGCTCCCACGGAGGCGGCCATAGGCAGGCGCCCCACCCAGCAACTAGAGGCGCCCCCGACGCGCCCGGCAGGTGTACCGCAGGGCAGCGAGCTGTGGGCGGCCCTGGAGGGGCTGTACGCGGCGATAGCATTGGATGCGGACGGCGCCGGCGCTGCGGCACCATCGGAAGGCGGCGCCCTGCACGCGCCCTGCCGCCGCCTCGGCGCCGCGCTCCGCGCCGAG